CCTGAGTGAAGATGGTTTTGATTCGGTTTAGATTATTGGTACGAATGGGAAGTTTGATGCCTAACGTGGATGAGACCAACTCTGCGATTGCCGTCATTTGATTGGAGTGGAAGTGAATGGCAACCAATAATAACATTTCACCGAAAGACGACTTCACGTCACTCATGCGACCGAAATAACTCTCCTCTTTGACCAACCATTTGATCCAATCGATGGCCTTCTGCTCGTTGTCGGCATTCGTAATCAACAGAGGAGTTGATAATATCATTGAGAGACCCAATGACACGAATCTGATGCCAATTTGATTGGGCGGCGGATGACATATAATAAGCGCTACAATAGAGTTAGTCTCGTCTTCAGTGAACTTCATGTTCGCGACACCACGTAATGCACAGTAGAGTCGAATCAGTACACAGGCCTCGGAAACACCCGATTCTAAGCTCTCGTCCGATTTGAGACCATTTCGTACCAAAACGTCAACACTTTTGAGTAGTTCTCTCCTGAGGTCTGAAAGAGTGGTGTGAATCGATTGCTCCATCTTTTTCTGACCGATTTTAATATACTGTGAAAACCAATTCCTAATCCTGTCGTCGTTTCCCAACAGAATTCCTGTAATGAATGACACGATATCTGTTTGCGGCAAAGAGTCGCCCGATTTGTCTTTGTTTTCGATGTAATCATTTTAATATACTGTGAAAACCAATTCCTAATCCTGTCGTCGTTTCCCAACAGAATTCCTGTAATGAATGACACGATATCTGTTTGCGGCAAAGAGTCGCCCGATTTGTCTTTGTTTTCGATGTAATCGAGTGTCAAATGAATGGTAAGACTCGGCATTCGACACAATTCGACGGCTTCTGCTCTCACTGTCAGCGCTTCCGACGGATTCATTCGGCAAAGAAGCCGAAGGGCTGTGATTCGGGTTCGGCTGCAGAAGGACTCGTCGTCGTGTTTGTCCCCATTATTCAGAAGCGTTACACAAATATCACCGAAACTTTCGGCAAAATTGGCCGCAATTCGACAGATAAGTGCCGTTCCGTTCTTCACGTGAAGTAACGCTTCCACCACTTCTGGGATCTGCAAAGTGTTGGGCAGTTCTGCGATGGCTATACACAACACGTCCGACACTTCGTCCAAATAGACCTCATTGTCAAACAGTTCCGACGGCCGAAGACCTGTCACCTGTTGTTGGCTCTGATAACCGGTTTGTCTGACAAAAGCCATGATTGATATCAATTCGCTCAACAGAAGTCTCAACTTCTTGATGCCATCGCAGCGCTCAAACTCGAGGGCCAACCCATCGGTCAGTGATGTGATGAGCAAAGAGTCGGTGGCATTGGATCCGCACTTGAGTCTCAACTGTTGCTCTTTGCGGACATCCATTTCCAGGGCGTGAAAGTCAAATGACAACAAATTGACAATACTGTTGATCACTTCGATGCCGGACAGCATCTTCTGGATGTGTTTGCGGCGATCGCACCACTCGTCGGATGTGTCCAATGGTATACACCAACCCATCCTCACGAGTGTCGGCAGAATCGGCCGAATGGCCAATGAGTCCAGTCTTTCGATTTGATCCAAATCCAGGTCACGGATCACACAGAATGTCTTCTGCGACGGCATCAGGTGTTGACTCACATTCAGCGCATCCATTGTCGCAGATTATTGATGACAAGTGAAGACACAATCGTCGGTCTGATTGTCACTACAATTGATTCAAAACAATAGTATATATTGTGTTGAATACGAGTGACAAGAGATGGCAGTGAATGACAATCCGATCATTACTTTTGCGTTCACTTTGAATGCAATGAGAAGTTTGAATGAATATATGAATGGATCCACGAATTCATTCTTCACGTCATTTAACACTAATTGAAGTTTAAATTGAGTTTGAATTTGATTTTTATGCAAAGAAATGAATAAATGTTAGCAAATGTTTGCATCAATTGCTAGAATGTATGCCTTAGTCAACATGTATTGTACTTTTGATTGATTCAAACAATTGACATAACATTTAAAAGATCTTAAGTTTAATGAATAAAAGTTTTATTAGAAAACTATTGTAGAAAATATTTAAATTTATTTTAAATGAAATCAATTTTTTGCTGTCGATTGCAATTAAAATGAAAAATGCATTTATACTCAAAAATCTATAGTATGTTAACAATTACTGAATTACGAGCATTTGCTTCACAATAATCAGTGATATATTTATTGAATTTAATTTTTATAATTCAAATGTTAGGCAATATTTCCGTTTATTATAAGTTATAATTTATAAGTTAACTGTTTAGCCGTCGAAGTTGTGTTGAATTGTATGTAAAAATAGTTTAGTGTTTAAAATGAACGCTAAGAAGAAGACAATTCCGCGAAAGGATAAGAAAAATGAGAAGAAAAGGGCAAAAATCAAGCAAAAGATTACTCGGAATCGAGTAATTGTCGGAATTCTGAGTTTCGTTTTGTTCGTAATTTCCATATATTTTATATATCTTTCGTTTGCGAACCAAAACACGAAACTCTCAGTACTGGACATGAATTGGCGGTTGAGTACAATTATACGCCTTTCCATCGCACTCCTGGGATACATGGGAACCGTCCTCTTCTCTAAGAGAATACTAGTCATAACAATGGCACTCATTATTGTGGACATTACCATATCGTTTCTAATACATTGCCTGTCCTTTAAGTATAGTAAGTGTTTAGGACGTTGTGTTCATTGAAAGTTTCAAATATTAATACATGTATTATATTTGTGTTTCAAGTGGACAACGATTACGAAGAATATTTAGATTATTTCGCAAATACTGAGAAAAAATACATGAAAGAAAGTGACTGTCATTTCATTAAAGTCTTTCGGCGAAGAATTATCGAAAACTTAATTCTCGTCAGTTTTTATCTCATTTATGTCGAGTCTATTATCGCTTTGTTTCTTCTCGTCAAAAGTGAGCCCAAAAGTACCGACGGCTCGACACAAGTAAAACTACCGACAATTGGCTCGAAGTGGGCACTCATCCTCTTGAGTACAATTCACTTCTTGTATTCACTGCATTTGTTTACATCCAAAACATTTAGAAGTGATCGAAATGATCACAAAAAGAGTGATTTCTGGTACATCTTTATGTGGACTTTATTAGCTTTCCTCTCAATGTTGATCGCATTTCTCACTCCCTTTGCGTTATTGAAAATATCGTTCAAAAACAAGTTTGCGCTCAACTTTTTCATCTCAGTAGTCATGTCCTCCGCATTCATCGGTTCCGCAAATTTTCTTATCATTATATTCAATGGTAAAGAGGAAAACATGTCGACTATTATTCAATAATTAGTAAAAATATTTTCATAAATTTTCAGAGATTTTCAAAATGAATCCAACGGATGACTATTACTGTAACACAAGGATTACATCTGTGGACAGTTTTGGCTCAATCTTCGTGCTCTTGATTGTCAACAAAATTATGATTTCATTGCTCTTATCATTAGCCGCAGAAATACATGCCCAGCAAAAGAAAGCCATTAATTCGTTGACTAAAATAGTGAGCGGTATTTAAATTATATAAGTTATAGAAAATCTCAAACAACACTTGTTTCTAAATATTAGCCCAAAAGCACAATTCTATACTTATTTTAATTAATAAAACTATTTTCTCAAATTAATTTAATGTTATCACAATTTAATATACAGTAGTTATAATTGGCGTTATTTCAATATTTTTGTCTTCTCCACACTTTAATTTATTTTGTTAGTAAAATAAGTTTTTATTTTAATAATCAAAATTTTAATTAAAATAATACTTTTCTAATTATTCTCAAAAAATTGTAAAATTGACAATAATTAACAATAATATATATAATTTAATGGAACTAATTAACAGATTAAGTTTAAATAATAAGAGTAAATAACAAAAATTCAGGTTATATTTTGTTACTAATAGACAATAATTAATTGTCAGAATCTGATATATTTACCAATATTTAAAAATTTAAACAAAGTGTGGTTTAGGAAGTTTTGTTGATACAGACGCTAAGTTGATAATAACCGATAGAAGTGACAAAATAGTGTAACTATTTAAAAATTAGGTGTTTCATAAATTACAAAATAAACGACAGATAATTAAAATAATAACGATTTGAAAGTGAAGTTTTATAGCATTAAGAGATAATTGTCACAAACATGTTGCCTATTTTTGAGCAAAAATAAATAATTGCATACTATTTATATTCGTTAGAAAAGTTATAGCGTATAAGTTATACACTTTTCTTTCTCATACGAGACAAATAATATAATAATTTAGTGTAAACTTAAAATAAATTTAGTCTCATTTGTAAAATTACTTGAAACGTGAAATTTTTCTTT